CTACACTCCTCCTCTATTTACTTTTCAGAGCTAGCCAGCTCTCCTGAATGTCACTCCCTGCTTACCGCATGAGTCCGTCAAACACTTCTGACACCATTTAAGTAAATTAGGAGGCAGAAAAATACCAAGGGTCCAACCGGGTTTTGAACAATAGACCTCTTGGTCCGTAGGCGGACACCTCAACCACATCGCTAAAGGGTTTACCCAACAGCAAGGCAGTTGGAAGTGGCCTATATACCACTGCACTATATTGTGTTTGACCTCCAGAACGGCAACTATTTCGGCAACTGAATAATTTGTTGGCCAATATAGTTTTAATAGGTCGTCCATTTTTATTTTAATGCTATAAGCAGTGAATAATAAGTAGTAAGCCGTAAGCAGTTGACAGTAAGCAGTTGACAGTAAGCAGTAGGCAGTCAACATTTGGCAATTCCATAGTTTATTGATTCATTAATGTTCCCAAAGAAATATTGAGATAAATATAAAAAGTTATGAAATTATAACAATTCTGTCATAAACCTAAATCAATACACCGCATAGTTACGAATATCGATCAACAGATCAATTGGGTATTATTTAATACTTACATGTAGTAAAGCCTATCTAGTCAGATTATGAACAGGTATAATATAAAAATATATATTAAGAATATTAAGATATAGTTCCCCCTTAGCATTAACAAGCGGTTTGTACAGTACGGAATTCCATAAACGACAGCCTACTGCTCACTGCCTACTGCTAACTGGACAGCCTGCTGCTCACTGCCTACTGCTTACTGCTTATTGAAAGTCTAAGTCTATGTATGGAACAAATAGAAGTATTCCGAATGTACACACATGTGCGCCGGACATTTTGTTGAAGGTAAACTTTGCGGAAAACAATGGTAAGTAAATTAAAAAGGATTATTTTATAGCCTAATAATTTATGAATTTTGAATTCATTGCAATGACTTGTGTACGTCCCACCATTGCACACTGCTTTGATTATGTTATGAAATGGTTACACGTGCCTCTTGCACAGGTGATTGATAAATTGTCAAATATAGGACTCATTTTAGGGTAAATCAACTTAGCAATAAATTATTCACAAATAATCTGTGTTCAACAATCAACATGGACTGGGTCTGAGCCCACTATTCCTCGGTTGAGAGGCGGAGATCTGGACCATTATGTCAACACTCCCTAATTTTATTTAGAATTTCATAGTTTATTAAACTTTCATTTGACAACATTTCTAGAAGAATATCTGTAATATACTGATGAAATCACTGGTGAAATTTAGGCTAAACATTCTCTCATAATCAAACATGTGTGAGTTCATTAACCAGATCATTTTGGTTCAGTTTTCATTGGCTGTTAGTTATAGTTTATAAATGTGTAATTCCTTATTAGATGTTATGTTATGCATTTATGTTAAGTTGATTGTGCAACTCTTGATAGTTTATGTTGCAAAGATATGTGCTTTGAAGGTTAATTATAGAATCAATTTTATTCCAGTACAGAGGATGATAAATCTGACAGAAACATTTCAATTGAGGAACAGCCTATACTTTCATTGACTTCACAGACAAGTAACAGAACCAATACACCTGTATGAAAATATTTAAATTACAGTGGAAGAGGAAAAGGGCTACATAAATGTATTTGTTCTTAAAGACGAGTTTAACTGGCTTCCTTCTGAAAGCATAAACAAAGACAAACTTGGCTGTATTCAAATTGTTTCAAAAACGTCCAATATTTCAATGACATAAAGAGTGCAAACATGAAGTGATAAATTACTTATTTTTACTTTTATAAAAAGCCATCGTGCTATTGAAAAGCTCTCAAAAAATAATAGATTCTTAACTATTTGAATTTACTTAAAAATTTCTGATAGACAATGTTAATGTTACAATATATTTTTTGACGTGTTGTTTAAAATCCATCTTTTATACAATTTTTATAATTATCTTGTTAACAAGCACACTTAAAAGTGAACTTTAAGGTTGGTTATTTTTTCTATTTCTTTATGCAATTACCGCAAGTAAAACCAATGAGCAAATCTGCCTTCGTATTTGCCAGAATCATCCAATGAAAGTTATTACTATTTCTATCAGGTTCTAGAAGTTTGACAACTAAGGTAAACAGTTCTAAGACATCGTGATAGTGTAGAGCTTTTATGGTATAATATGAAGCATTTTTAAGTTACCTTTCTTACAACGTGTATATATCACTTTATATTGCAGAGTATATTTACATTAATATGATTAATCTCATAACAATTATATAATTCATAACAGAACTTTGAATTATAATTCTGCTTTTATATTGATTACTTTCCCCGAAACTTTACAAATATTTTATATAGATTTTGATTTTTTTACAGGTGTGTCATAATTTTTATTTTTAAATAACGGTGTATACAAGAAAATATTAGCTTACTGGTCTCATTATTGGGACTAAACATACTTTTTATGTGGTGTTATAATCAATAGGTGTATTTCGTTTTTCATTTTAATTGTAAATAAAAAAGTTCTTTAAAAATAAAATATCATAATTTTCTTGTAATTTTGTTTATGTTTAGCTCCCCGGAAAAAAAAATAATGACAAAATGAAATGAAAATGGTTATATATATGTTAACCATGAAGCAAAGTTTGTTTGTTGAATGTTGTAACATGACCAAGTTGGAAAAAACAATATTCAACATTGTCCACATTTAGAGTGTCTTAGTCCATCAATTTTAAATGCATAGGATCGCGAAAAGTATGTATTAGGAAGAAGAAGATTACGTTATATTATTAGTTCCATAAGAAATACATCTGAAGCTCCACTTCAGTGAATATTTCACTTCAAAACAGCTTTACAATTTAACCTAAAGACAATGAAATGAAAAGACGACCGTCTAGCAATATATTGATTAATCTGTTTTCTTTCCTGTTGTTTTAATGCCTTTATCATAAGTTATAAAAATCAGAATGTAACACAAGCAAAACTGCAAAAACTTAAGAATTACATGCGGAAGGCCTCAAATTTAGGATACCGCAGTTCATCGCATCGTTAAACAAATACTAACATTCCTTTGTATTAAATAATAATGCCCGCGTAACTCAAAGATCTTTCAATGATTTTATTATGCATCCAATTATAACACAATAATTGACATGTTAGTCATCATGCTTCTGTCGAATATTTTTTTAACATCTACTAAATTAACATTTTCTTGAGGCTTTGTAGAATTAAGGTATAAATGTACGGTCTACAATCATCAGAACAAGTATTAACTTTTTAGATACAACTAAACGGTTCCATGTATGATTTGGGCCACGAAGTGTGTATACTCTCCCAGTACGTTTAACGGTTATTAGAAAGAACTACTGGTAATCCGAGACGTGACTGGTATCTGAAAATCGTTCTGAGCACCATTATCTAGATAATTTTCGAACAAAATATGATAGCATTATTTTCAAAATGCGAACATAAAACTGACCGTTGTAATTTAAATGTAAAAACAACGACGTTCATGACATTACAAGGCCTCCGTTTAAAAATATCATTAAGCACTATAGTTATAGGATAGAGCCAATATCATTTAATGAACAAATATTATAATATACATGTTATATGGTAAATGTATCTAAATGACTGTCTTTTACAAGCTTGAACAGGGATATACATGTATAAATAATTCTGCAAGCAGTTTTATTTGGTAGCTCAAAATTACCAAACAAGATTTAATGACAGAAAAAAAATTGTAATATTTGGTTTGATAACATTTTTATAAAGTAAACAGGTCTATGATTTGGAAAAGTTCCAGATGCCTGCAAAGATGTATACACTGTACTTATATTTCTGCTTAATATAACGAGAATTATACATGTACATGTATAAATGTAACGAGTCCCAAGGTTTCAGTCAAAGTCTTCATAAATGATACAGATTACTGTAATTCCGTGACCAATACTGTTTCAAACGGCCTCATTGTAACATATAAACACATTGGAAGAAGTACGTAAAAAGCCAACTGTTAATCGGTTATTTGACAGGTGTAACAGTTGGCATTCATCAACGAACAGTAAGCATTAAACAGTCGCTGTAAGCATTAAGCAGTTGAAAGTAAGCAGTTGACAGTAGGCAGTTGACAGTAAGCAGTTGACAGTAGGCAGTTGACAGTAAACAGTAAGCTGTCGTTTATGGAATTCCGCAGCACAGTTATGTCAAATAATATATTAACAAATATACATGTATATCCAAATGTTTTTGTTGGTGCATTTTGTGAGAAAGACATCCTCAAAGAGAAAGTTTGATCTCACACCTGGTCCGTGGTTGAGAACCAAATCCATCCCTTTTATCAATCAAAGCACTGAAAGTACTGAAGTATACATTGCTTGATAATATAATCCATTTTTGACATCAAAGCCATGTTGATTTTAACCTACTGACCTCGAAAACAATAGGGATCATCTTCTGACCAAGATCAATGTCCCTAACAAGTGATTCACATGCACCAAGGCTTTTTTCTTCAAAAGTTATTTATGAGTCAAGGAAGATGTAATGTTCCATCTGTGTATTGCTAGGACAAGCTGATAGATGAGCAATAAAGAAATCATTTTTTGAAACACCCGTTAAATGGACTGCAGTATAGAATATTGAAACAGTCATATTGAGTTTCCAGTGATGCTATCTGATAAAATACATGATCTGGTTTGAACTCTATACAAAGTCAATTAATTGAATCATCCTACAAGACTTAATTACCAAATTACAGTACATCTATGTACTGTACTTTGATGCATTAATAAATATATTCTGGTGTGTTGTATTTATCTCTACACATTTATTTTCAAATGCATTACTTTATCGTTAATTAATAAAAATGAAATCTATAATCACAACAATTCAAATGTACTGTAATATTTTCATTATTCAATAATTGTTACATATAGTCTTCATGAACAACCTTTCCAAGAAATCCATTTATTCAAACATTACAACTTGGGAATAAAAGAAAAGAGAAATCAGTCTAAAAAACGTACTGGTATTTATTAACAAAAACGTGTTGGCATGAAAATGGCCATGGCTGGATAAAAGCATTTTAATTATTTAACCTATTGAAATGTCTATGTGTTTCGATTTAAGACTACTAAATGTCTTTACTATAACTGTTTTTGCCCCGGCAACGGTTGCAAAAACGTGGTAGCACATGCTTCAACTCAAGGTACACAGGTACAGATGATTAAATCACTTTACATGTCTATTTTACAAATTGATCAGCTCCGATAACGGTCGCTGAGAATTATAAGCATTCTCCTTTTTCTATATCTTTCTGTTCCAGCCATGACGTGCATCTGAAAATATAAAGGGAAGAAAGCAAAAACAAAGAAAAACAATGAAATTGAACGGGTGGGTTTGTGGTGGGATTCAAGATTTGAAATGTAAATTTTAGATTTTTTAAACGAAGATAAACTAGTCTACCTCTTCTATTGTGAGCCACGATCGAAAGACCGTTCCCAGAATTTGCTCTGCCTTATATATGACATATTGTAAGTTGTCTCCCCTGACAACTCTTTTTGAGGCCCTACTGGGGTGTTATAATAAAGAATGTTAAGTTGTAAGATTTGAATAAAAGATTTAATCCTCTAGCGGATAAATCGAATATTATATTGGACAGCAAGTTAACAAGGGTTTTTCCATAATCAGGTTGTGTTACCAACTTCTTAACTTTAGATGAACCATTGAGCTAAAACATTTTTTTTTTCTATTTTTTGGCTACTGTGACATACTTCTGATTTTCAACCAAGGTGATCCATGTTCAAACTCGAGCAAAACCTGTCACACTCATTCTTACGATGTTGTGTGACATTTGGGACAAAAGTTTGACCAGTAGAGTGTTAACAAACTAAATGACCAGCAGATTGTTAACAACTGTAATGTCAGCATCGGATACACGTGGTTGATACCTAACTGATAAATGTAAATGGTTCGGCCGTGGGTATCCGACGATGCTAAATGTGGACATACCAGAGTTGACATAAGATGGATGGCCGACATTCAACAATCTAAAACCTCACATAGCCTGGGATTCAGGCGTTGATAGCTTTTGCTTATTCATAACATTTTTTTGTTCATAACATATGCGCTTAATATTCCGTATTCGTTCGTCGTTTTGATAGTGTCGATTTTGCCAAACAGAAACATAACAAAAAATCGACAGACTGGAACCCAGGCTAACCTCACCCTGAGCTAGCCAACCTATAAGTTTCACCACTGACTTTTTCATACTCTACATATTACAAAAAATAACTGACATTTTACAAAGGTAATAAATTCTATGTCATAGTTATTCATTTAAACGATTGAAAATGTATTTAGCAGCATTTTTTAAAAAAATATATATAGTATTTTATTGCAAGTAAAATGTGTTGTTTGTTTTTTTTTCTATCTTTTTGACGCTAGGCAGTATCATAGCCGATAAACAATTTCATACAATGTTTATTACAAAAATATTACTGATATTTTACATTTCTTACACATAAATTATAATGTTATAATCATTCATTTAGACGGTTAAAATTTTATTTAATAGTTCTATTTTTGAAATGTCCATTTCATCGCAAGTAAAATGTGTTTTTTTTATTTTGGGCTTTTCCATTTTTTTGACGCTAGACCGATACGTAGCCGAAAAACACTTTCATGCTGTATTTATAAAAAATATAAACATCACTGACATTTTACATTCGTAACAAAAGAAAGTAATAGTTATTCATTTAAAAGGTTGGAAAAAAAATAGCGGCTCTTGTTTTAACTACGACTATTTTAATGCCCGTAAAAATGTGTTTTCCGGCTTTTCCATGTTTTTTTTTTTTTGACGCTAGACTGTAACTTTGCCGAAAAACACTTTCATATCGCATTTAATACAGAATAGAATCATTCTCTAATTTACACTGGTTGTAAAAAGAAAGTAAATTTTAATCATTTAAAGGGTAGAAAAAAGTAGATAAAACTTATTTTGTTGGAATTATACCAATTGTATATATCATCGATTTAAAACTGATATTATTGAACCCATTTCATCAAATAACCGTCAAAAACCAATTTCATCAAATAACCATCAAAAATGGTTTATATTGCTGAATTAATATTTCTTTGTATTTTAAGTGTTTTTCGGTATTTTTTTGGTGTTTTTCGGCAATTAATATAAGCAGATAAAAATAACATAATGTATTTATTTCTTAATGCTTACACTGATTTACAGTTTCAAATGATTATTTCTTCTCGTCGAATCTTGCCACATATACCTATATTTAGCTCCATACGTCAATATCCCAAGTTCGACGAATTGTAATGGGTCGAACGGTCGAGCGGCCGAACCTTTATTTTTACCCGTACTGAATCAGGCAATCTTCGCTGAATTTCGAAACATATTTCTTTTCAAAAATCTAAGGCATACAAAAGCTGGAACATACGATACGTTATAGTACATCCCAGACAAAAGTGAAAGGAAAATCATGTGTAAAAAAGGTATTCAAAAGAATAGCTTACGAAATTTCTATTTTTCGAAGTCACGATACTAATTGCCAGTTTTTGAAAAAAAACATTTTCCGGTATACGCTGGTAAATTTTGTGACGGTGCTCCATACTTATTTTGTAAAACATTTTAGGGCAATTTTATTGCATAAATGTAAATCGGGAATTTTATTTGATTTAATATCTACCTGAGATGTTTAGGTCCCATTTATATAATACACCGATATACACTTTTAGAACTAGCAGACGACAGGCTATTCTTATCATTGCGTATCTCACTGTATAAATCGCATGTAAAATGGTCTGACATATGGTAGGTTTAACAGTTATTTTAAATACTTTGGAGTCAAAAGATGTATTGAAGTTTATATTGTGATGAAGCTAAGATCCAAAGCTTTCTATTGGTGTAATACATTTTAAAATCGGACATTTAATCACAACAAACTAGCGGTTTAAAAAAAGCTTATTTTGTATTGTTGTAGCATAAGCGCTGACGACTTTACTATATTTACGATGTATTCATTCATGCTAGCAAGCGCATGCGTATATGCGAAGTTTAACGCGTAGGTATAAACTACGATTTTATCAATGAACTGTTAGTTTTTTGTTTTCTTTAAAGGAATGTAGAGTCTATTATTTCATGAAAATGAACGATTTGCAAATTTCAAAGCATTTAAACAACTCTGCAAAACACTATTTTAATGATGTGTAGTCGGAATGTACCGCTACTGCAGAATGAAGAACTAGTTTCTATAGCGGTTTTTATCCGGGAGTGGATGTTGTTCGGTAATGCATTAAACCTGTATCTTTTCTGAAATATAGCTTATAACTCTGTATACATTGCAAGCAATGTATACAAAAACAGTTTCTATGGCCATATAAGGTTTTTGCCATAGACCGCGAAATACAACTTTTGTTTGGTTACTAGGATATGTTTTCATGTGTAAATGGTATAAACTTTAAATGTTTTAACACTTACTTTTTGTTTCAGTACCATCTGTTACTTTCCTACCAAGTGCGACATTTAGCGTCAAGGGGTTGCGACATTTAGCGGCAATCGATTTTTGTGCGACATATAGCGGCAACGTTGCGACATTAAGCGGTAGGCGATTGCGACATATAGCGTTGATTGCGACATATAGCGTCAGCGTTGCGACATTTAGCGTTAGTTGCGACATATAGCGGCGTTGCGACATATAGCGTTGCTACAGTATGCCTTACGCTAATATCAATCAATTAGTAGGATGTACTGTTCTGTTCTGTTTAAAGTGAACCGAATGAACATATGAACGTATAATTTAAAAAGTAGACGTTTATGCAAAACCTGAGGTTTATTTAATTCAATCATGGCACTTCTTTTACAACCATCATATCGAATAGTGAAGGAAATGCTTTAAAGGATTCTCATATAAACAAAACAGTGTGTTACATTGTGGTATGTAAACAAGCATCGAATACCTTTTTTTATATTCAGATTGATTATAAGATTACAAACAAGCCGTTCTTTCTAGCAATTATCCATTTACATATATTTACATCAAGAAAATCAAGCTTTGACATAATTGTACTAAGATGATCAGAAAAGTAAAACGATTCAAGATTCAAGTCAGAATTTACATGTTATGTTTAAATAATGACTGATTTGGCAGTATTTATGACCATATTTTTACTTTGTGACTTAAAACAATAAGGGCCATTTTTGTATAATTTGACACCTATTTTGGTATTTTGCATGTGTTATTAATGCTGTTTACAATGTGCAATGCCGTTTACAATTTGTTAATTGTTTTCCGTATACACTACATAATATTGTACTTTAAAATACATTTTCAAAAATTTCATACAAATTATTATGAATCTAGAGGCAGACTGCTTTTATTTTACAGATTAGTTTTACCTGTTTAGTTCGTCACTGTCTTCCGATATACCTTTAAAGATACACAACCTTAAGCATTACATTAAATTTTTCTATTGATGTCAAACAATAATTTTATCCTCGTTTTTTTTTCATTTGAAATGCTAGATGCTTTGAGTCTTTCCTAAAAAGATTAGATAGAACAAATCAGAACTATGGGAAAGTAAAGTCAATAAAAAGCTCGTAAATATAAATTATAGATCATGTCTATTGCTTTAAAAACTAGTAGCACTAACTAACAAGTGCAGAAAGGTTTGTGTGCACGTTACAAAAAAAATGTGATGATAACGTTTCAAATAGAGGCTTATTTACCCTTCTAAAAATCTTTTTCCCTTAGTTGATTAAGTCGGAAGTGACTAGGACGAAATTTTAAAATCCCAATCTGGTGGTATTTTATGTAAATTTACGTCTGGTTTGCTCAAGTAATAACGATATTTCTTTTCTTCATGACTCTAGAATTTTATTTTTATTTTTATGTAAAGGAAAATGGGAACCTTAAAGTACGCTAACACACACGACCAATATAACATTGATTTAAAAAGTTTATATGTTAAAATTAAATTAAATGTTATGACTTTTCATATTACCATCTATCTTAATGTTAAGGATTGTTGTTCTTTTTGTATGGTTTGTCTGCCCAAGTGCAATAAAAAGTATCTGGAAACATAAATCTATGCAACAAAATGCAACACAATTTATTTTTATTTGATATTGTGTAAAAACTAATGTAAAAAGATTTGTGGCAGATATTTTTAAAGAATGTTATAAAGTAAAAGTTTAATTTATGCATTTTAATATAATTTAATTACAGCAATAAATATTCTATATGAAATAATGTTTTATGGAAAAATACTTAATTTGTTTGATAATAGATAGTGTTTATTAAAAAATCTTTCCTCTTTCTATCAATATGACTGTTTATATAAAAAATATATTATATATACATACCAGCATCATGTTCGATGCAATGAATTCCGATTATTGTATATTCTAACATTTCCCTATTGAACATAGAAGAACCGAAAGTGAGTGTTATTATGCAATAGAGTCACTGTTTGACGTTCTATATTTAGACATGTGACGTAATCATTATACATGTGACGTAACCACTATATAATCCGACGCGCTGACAATAAATACAAAAACAAATCAGGCGTAATTTTGCTTATTAGCAGGTACGGCAGCATTTATTTGTTTATGTCGTGTTAGAATCGAAATTA